GGGAATATCCTTTATTCTGAGAAGGGGTCATCATCCAGGCCGAGGGTCCTGACCAAGGCGTTGACTTCCNTGAGAGAGACTATACAATGTTATTTTTTCACTATAATAGGGGTAATACAAACACAACATAGTGTAGTGCATAAGTTACAGATGGAGCCAATGTAACACTCCTCAAATTTATAAAAGTTTCGAGACCCGCTAATTATAGAATTAAATTATTATTATTATTATTATTATTATTATTATTATTATTATTATTATAATTTTTATCTTGCCTATAGTAAATATATCTATATACACACACGCACACTTAAATAACTGAATATATAATTAGAGGAATATTAATAATTTTAATATTATTAATTATTAAAAGTGGATATCATTAATTATTAGTTAAGTTAAAAAAAAAGGAAAAAAGGGCCTAAAGCCCATAAAAGGGCTGATGGAACCAAAAAAGCTTCAAGCCTTAAGAAAAGAGTTGAATTAGAAGTTTAGACAAAAACAGAGAGAAACGAAACAGAGAGAAACTCACGAAACAGAGAGAAACTCATGCAGGCAACGGAAAATCTAGGGTTCATTAAAAATAACTAATTCTTGAACTCAGGTATGTAAAATTCCCTATTGTCAATTACCCTAAAGTAGTAGTATGTAAGAATTGGATAGTTAATTCCCTTCTTCCTCTATATCAACAATAAATTTTATTTTAAGGTGTGAAACTTTAAAATTGATTAAAATGCACTGGTTGTTGTAGAATCAATTGTTTGACTATTGTCAATTGGACTGGGGCCTACGTATTGGCTCGAGAAGTTTTGAGGTGAGTTGATATAACCCTTTACTAAAGTGGTTTAACTCACAAAATCACACATACAAGGTGTTTGATGAATTGCTTAAAAGAGTTTATATTTACTTAATTGGAGCGAGTGAATACCTATTAACTTAGAATTATTCTAGCAAAAGTTTAGATGATTTATTATGATATATGTGTATAATTTTTCAGATTTTTGTGTTATTTTTATATGCTATTTTCATGTTGAAAATTTATGAATAAGTAAGAATATTTAGAAACACTTTTACATGTTTATTTCATTCTTATGTCATGCTTTACATTTAAGGATACCAGCATGGGCATGTACGTAATGTTCTATAAAGAAAAGATTTAGACTTGAAAAGTCACAAGAAGAAGTTTTAGAAAGAAAAGATTTTTAGGAATATCCTTTATTCTGAGAAGGGGTCATCGTCCAGGCCGAGGGTCCTGACCAAGGCGTTGACTTCCTGAAACTACTTGTGACAAAGTGGGGAACATACGAGCTGAGGGTCTCGTTGCTGAGAATTTACTTAGCCATGCTAAGGTATGATACATGAGCGCTGAGAACCATGAAGTGAGTGGCACCTCGTGGATTGGGCCTATTGAATCAGGTTGGGATCGAACCCGTGCCGATCACATGGTGACTGAGATAGAATTAAGTCAGGATAGTTGGAACTCACAAAATATAAAGTGAAATATTTTTTTTTATAAGAAAGAAAAAGAAAAGAATTTCTTTTAGAATATTCATAAACTGCTATTATGCAATTATTTAGAATTATTCTTATAAGCTTTATGTTTTATATGCATTTAGAACCTTTGCTCGTAATGTATATGTTATTAAAGTTTCGCCCTCTGTTGTTGAGACTCACTGAGTACAATGGATGGTACTGACGTTCTCTTTTGGGCACCTACGTTGGTGTGCGATACAACGTATGAACCGATTTTGCAGG